GTGGTTTGATTAAAACCATGGTGATGGAAGGCATACGTGACTTAATATATCTTATTTGAAGGTTTTTATTTAATGTCTCACTAGATTATTATCTTTGTTAGAATGTCATTGTTGGCATGTTATTGAACATTCAACCTTAGCATGCATTCTAAACAAAATAAAACGTGCAGTACATGGCCTACTAAAACCAATTTCCTCAAGCCTAGAGGAATCGGTGGGTCAACCTAGGGTTTAAAAATAAATCTTGGATCTTCAAGTTATTCCTCTTCATAGCTCCTTCGTTTCTTCTTCACGATCATTACAAATAATTTTATAATAAAAAAACCTATTCTAATTTACATCAATAAAATAGAAATCTCGCGTTACATATGAGGGGAGTGAGACGAGGAGAAGAAATACATGGAGATTTAAGAGAGAGAGGCAGGACCCGCAGTCCTATTTGTTTATAAAAATTACAAATAAACCCAATAAACAATAAACAATAGGTCAAAGGTTCATGTACCGGGCACCATGCAATTATCAAACAAGAACATTGCATACATTAAAAAACAATCAATTTTTGAATTGGGTTGGGTTGAATTATCAAGTTACCACCTTAAACGTGCATAGTGAATATTGGCTTTAAAGGTTCAAAAAACTATAATTTAGCCCCTATGCAAAAAAAGAAAAGCAAAAACGGAACAGTATGTCTCTTGCCATGGCGAAGAAATTCTTCGCCCTGGCAAAGTTCATGCACACATGGTCGCTACAATGAAGTTTTATTTTGCCGCGATGACCATGAACTTCTAGAAAACACAAATCGCTCCAGAGAGTTTTATGCCGCGGCTAGATCTACTTTTCCAGAATTTCGTTGCGGCGAAGGTTTATTTCTCAGCAGCCAGATTCACTTTTTGCATCTCACTGCAGCGAAGTGTTATTTCGCAGTGAATCAGACACAGTAACGTCTTTTACAATTTTTCACATAATGACGCAGATCCAAATCAAATCAAATGCTTAAACATTCGACCAGGATACCAACGAACCAATACACTTTCAATCAACACATTATTTAATCAATTGATTAATTAAGACATTCAACATACAAAATTTTTCCAGATTTAAAAAACACTTCAAATCATGCATTAACATGTTATCAAACATCAATTAAACAATATAATCCAATACCTGAGGCTCTGATACCACTGTAAGTAATTGATCTACCATACGCAGTGAAAAACAAAAATTCAATCAGTAAATCAATTACCTTTCTTTGCCTAGATCTGAGTATAGATTATACCGTTTACATGTTTATAACAAAAATCTGTATAAAGTAAATACATTCAAGGATTACAAAACTTACGTACATTTGGAGGCTCCTTCGAATATCTCTGATTTCGGACAGGAACACTGTTAATGGTACTGTTCACTATTACTATTCACAGTCTATTGTTCACGTGATTTTTCGCCAATTGATCCAAAGTAGGATTGCACTCATGGAAATCCACATGAAGATAATTTGCAGAACCCTTGATTTTTTTGCTAGAACAATCAAGGGCTTCAAGAATCAAGAAAGAAGAACAAGAAAAGTTTTCTTCTTGAGAGAGAGAGGGGGAGATAAGGTGGCTAGGGTTTTAATTGAATGAATAATTCTTTATTGTTTTAATTTTAAGTTGCACTTATATAGTGCAACAATTAAAACCTTATTCCACTTAGGAATAGCCATGAGCTCCAACCCTAGTTCACCCTTGCAACCAAACACACCATTTTATGGTATTATAATTAATTAATTATTATTATTATTAAAATCAATTAATATACAATAATATATTAACATTGAATTAATAATAATAATTCATTTAAATATATACAGAGATATATTTAAATATAATCTCACTAATTTAATTTTAATATTAAAATTAAATACAAGCAATAACCTGAGCAAATTTAATTGTACTATGAAATTACCAAAATACCATTTCGTCCTAAAAGACGAAAATACCATTCTCACAAATTGATTCTTAAATTATCTTCTAAGTGTGTGACCCGTAGGCTTCTCATCATATCGGCAGTGTGTAGTATCACGATTAACACCAATTAATCGTCTCACTACACACAGACCAAGATTGGCCCCTAGAAAGGCATTATGGCCACCCGATAGATTCAGATTCAGCGAAACCATAGCCTGTCAATGATATGGTTACCATGCAATCAAATCTTTTCATCAATTATTATCTCATCAAGATTGAGGTACAGAAATAGTGTCAACCTCGGATATTCTCGACATGTTTATATTTAGTTATTGGACCAATGACAAGAATATTAAATTGGATTGAGCATCAGCTCAATCTCACTATGGCCATAGATTTAGTGTCATTGTCATTTACTGAATTACCCAATGAGATAACTTCTCCTATACCCAGGAGTGATGAATCATTTGTCAATCCACCATAGTCTCGATACACTTCTTAATGTAGTCAATCACTACCGTATTGATAGCTCTGAATAGAACTACATTGGGCTAGTGTCAAACTATATCAATTGGTGCACAAGGCGCTCTGGTGATCTCAAGTCTAAGGATCACATGCACCACCATCTGTTAGAGGATTTATTCCATAGACACTAGGGTTACCATCCATATGGAATCCTTTGGTGGGTCTGTCCAGTGAACTTGTCTCTAGCAAGCACCCATGCGTTGCACAGGTTGTCGGCAAACAATCTTGACAAGTGAGATTAGTCACTGCCTTTCGACAGGGTCGTTCAACACTATGATAACCTTACCGTATTATTTGTATCCTTGATCAGAATAATACTAGAGCTACGGACTTTTCTAGAATTACCACCATATGTGATCATAGGGTTCTCACTATCAAGATTTAAAACACTTGATACCCTCGTCACGATTCTACCATCCTAAGGACATATATCATTACATACACGATATAGAAGAATATGTCTTTTATTGATAAATAAACATTTATTACAGAGTCAATTTTACAATAATTGATTGGCTCTATGGCACCTACTCTAACAAGTTTTTCTGTAGATAGTTAGATTTAGAGTCCTTTAATATTGTTTATGTGTTTTCTTAATTTCATTTTAGTTATTTTCACAAGGCATAGTCATTGGAATTACTACAGTGCTTACAGTCTCTATGGGATCAACCCTTACTTTTGCACTATACTACGATTGCAATTCTTGTACTTGCAAGGATAGTAAAATTTTGTCTATTAAACATGGAGAAGTGATCTAAAGGCTAAGCAATCTAAAGCTTGCGATCAAATGTTCAAGATAAGATGGAAGTGAGTTGAAGTAGATGTGATCAGTAACAATCTGAACAGCATGTGACCTAAAGGGCATGCGGTCTAGAAGATGCGACCAGGAGGTAATGCGACCTAGATGTGATGTAAGAAGAAATCCACGGGACCAAATAAGCATGCAATCAGAAGCATTGTGCGACCTGAAAAAGGTTGATGATTCAGAGCTGGCCTAGAAGGTGTCAGAGTTGGTCAAGTACCTAGAGTGGTTTAGCCAACTTTTAGGGATGTTTAGTCTAACAGATTTTGTAGTTGTTAACAATGTATGACTCTATGATAATATTGAATAAATATCTCTACATTTTAGGTTAGCATTTAATGTTTTGCAAAGTGAGCATGTATGTGATGTATATGATGATGTCATATATTTGTCTATAATCTTTGATGAAGTTAATGAAATGTTTTTATACCGTAAAAAACATTTGACAAAAAAAAAAAAAAAAAAATCTCTAATAAACTTGTCTCTCAGAAGAACCAAATACTTGCGTTCTTTTCCTTTGTATTCGCTGGCTTGTAAACCAACACTCCATTTACCTATTGACTAGAAAATATTTACAGTATCCGAGGTTCTCATTTGAATATTGACTTAAAAACGTTCACGGTTATTTCAGATGTATTATTTCTTTTAGATTTTGAAACAGCAAGGAGAGAAGAAACCAAAGATATAATATTATTATCGAATAGAGAGGTAGTTCTTCAGCTCATGGATATCAGTTTTTAAGTTTTTAGAGACTTGAATTTGTTACAAGCAACATTGATTAATCTAGCTGAGGCCAGGGTGGTTTTCAGTCTATCAGGTAATAAGGATTAAACAAAGTTGTTCATATCGATGGTTCTTTCCAAGGAAACATGCAAGACCCGCATGACAAATTAATAAATGAACAAGTATTGACTTTCATATCTTCAATGTCAAAGTCAAAAGTTGTTATATTCTTTACTAGATATCAAACTATAGTAATTAAAAAACGTTAATTAATATAGGAATTTTGATTTGAATCAGTAGAATATATTCTTCATCATCGATTCATTATAACAAATCATTACCTAATCTATATCTTGTAAATGTGTTTCGTCAGCAGTAAGTAGTCGGAGCTCCATCTTACCAGTTGCCATATTGTCATGGAGCTGACGCATAATGAAAAAGATTTGAAGGGTGGTCTGTCCAGTTATGTAAAAGTCAGCTTCTCTGACAGTGTTTGTTTATTCTTAATTTGGTGGAATGCTTTAATATTTTTAAGATGGGCATGAAACTGATGATTGAAATATAAAATAAATAAATTTCAAAGAAGAGCTACGTGGTTTTACAATTTTATTTTTTTTTTTTGCCTTTCATATTTACCAAATATGAGGACTACAGAAAAAAAAAAAAAAAAAAAAAAAAAGGTTGTATGTAAGCCTATACGGTGTAAGTTGTATTCCAAAATTCATTATCAATTCAAGACTTAAAACTCTGTTGATAATGAATTTTACATTTCCTTACACAATCGCTTCTATATATTTCTCGTAGTTTATACACTTAAATTTCGTGAACACAATTCTCAAGCTTCTATTGTTTTCTGTCCCTCTTTTCACATTCTCTTTACATTTGTTGCTTTTTCTTACTCTCCTTCTTCTTCCATAGAAGGGTAAAGAATTTCTGGGTGCCTGAAGCTATACAAGCTCCAGAATGGTTTTAAAGCATTGCAGTAGCTGTAATTGTCAATTTTAGCAGAAAAGACTTTGTTTTATATGACATTTGAAAAATAACTTCTTTCTAGGAAAATTTGCTATTCATTTTGTTAGATAGTCATGATTCTAAAATATAAATTGTTTAGGCGTTCAACAAGATTCTATTAACGCCAACACATGGAAGTTGGCAGCTGCAGGATTTCGGTAGTTTTTGTTTTCTTGACAATTTGTTTTTGTTCAGATTTTGGCACTGCCATAGACACCATCACATCTTCCCAATCCATCAGAGATCTTGAAACAATCATCTCCAGGGCCAACAAGTTCAAATTGGGGTTTTTCAGCCCTGGTAATTCTAGCAATCGCTATGTAGGTATTTGGTACAATAAATTATCTACAAGTGCTGTCATATGGGTTGCTAACAGAAACAAGCCCCTCAATGATTCGTCCGGGATTATTACCATAACTGAGGATGGCAATCTTGTAGTTTTGAATGGACAGAGAGAGGTTATTTGGTCATCAAATGTTTCGAATTCAGTAAATAATGCATCAGCTCAGCTTTTAGATTCCGGTAATCTTGTATTGCGTGATAACACCAAGGGAGTAAGTATATGGGAGAGTTTCGAAGAGCCTACCGATTCATTCTTGTCAGGGATGAGAATTAGTACTAATATAAGAACAGGTGAGAAAGTGAAGTTGACATCATGGAAAAGCCCTTCTGATCCATCTATTGGAAGCTTCTCAGCTGGCCTTGATGCTTTAAACATTCCTGAAATTTTCATTTGGAACAATAGCCGCCCGTTTTGGAGGTCCGGTCCATGGAATGGACGAGTCTTTCTTGGAGTGCCTAATATGAATTCTGTTTATCTTGACGGATTTAATCTTGTAGTAGATGACCAAGAAGGAACTGCTTATCTAACTTTTTCATTTGTGAACATGTCTTTGTTCTTTGTCCTGAAATCAAAAGGAGTAGTGGAAGAAAGAAAGTGGATTGAAGAAAAGGCGGAGTGGATGGTTCCTTTCTGGAATCCTAATACTGAGTGTGATGTTTATGGTATGTGTGGAGCATTTGGAAGTTGTGATCCACTGAAAAAGCCAATTTGCAGCTGTTTAAGAGGGTTTGAGCCAAAGAATGTAGAGGAATGGAATGGAGGAAACTGGAGTGATGGTTGTGTCAGAAGGATAGAACTACAGTGTGAAAGGATAAAGAAAACTGTTGAAGCTGGCAAAGAAGATGGATTTCTGAAATTAAAGATGATGAAGGTACCGGGCTTTTCAGATTGGTCATCAGCCCCCGAGTCTGAGGGTCAATGCAGAGAACAGTGCTTGAATAATTGCTCCTGTATAGCTTATGCATATGATGTTGGTATTGGTTGTATGTTATGGAGCGGCAACTTAATTGACATTCAGAAACTCCGCAGTGCAGGGATAGATCTTTACATTCGTTTGGCACGTTCAGAATTTAGTACGTTCAATGCTATCTCATTAGTTCTCTTACTACTCCACTCTTCAATTTTTGCTTATTATTCCCTGGTCTAATCCCCGGTGGATAATATCTGCAGATAAAATAGACCTGAAAGTTGTTATCATAGTACCAGTGATTCTAGGAGTAATTGTATTTGTAATTACAGTCTGTGCATTTTTCTCATGGCGATGGATGGATAAACGGAAAGGTAAGTTAATATGCTCACAAGTGCTACTTTAGTGGATTGGCGTAAATTTTCAATTTCTAATGGATGCATCTCGTATTATATGAGTTTATATCAGCTATGAAGGAAAAAAACAGGGTGATGCAGCTTGATGAAGGGGAAGTATATAAAGAATTATCTTCGGAAAACATTAACCAGACCAAATTCCAGGATCTACCACTATTCACTTTTGAGGAGCTGGTAACTGCGACTAACAACTTTCATTTAACCAATAAGCTTGGGGAGGGTGGTTTTGGCTTAGTATACAAGGTAATTGGTGCTTTAACTTTCCTATAGCTTTCTATATGATGCATGTTATATATTGAGGTTTTGCTTCAGGGAAAGTTACAAGATGGACAAGAAATAGCTGTGAAAAGACTATCAAAAGCATCTGGACAAGGGATAGAAGAATTTATGAATGAGGTGGTGGTAATTTCTAAACTCCAACATCGAGGCCTCGTTAGACTACTCGGATGCTGTGTTGAATCAGGAGAAAAGTTGCTGATTTACGAATATATGCCAAACAAAAGCCTGGATGCGTTTCTCTTTGGTTAGTTCATGAAATTAGCCTAACATAGTGACACCAATCTTCCTTTTGTTTGTTCATATCCTCTCATCTTATCTCTGACAAATAATTTAAGAAACAAACGAGAAATTTCTTGCTGATTTTCCAGCTCAATTACTTGACAAGTAATTTTGTTTTGACAATTTCACCAACAACCTTTTCTCACGTCTTTGGATTACAATTTCTCTAGATCCAGTGAACCGCGAACTTTTGGATTGGAGAAAACGCTTCAACATTATTCAAGGAATAAGTCGAGGTCTCCTTTATCTTCACAGGGATTCTAGATTGCGGATCATACATAGAGATTTAAAGGCAAGTAACATCTTATTGGATGAAGAACTGAATCCAAAAATTTCAGATTTTGGCATGGCAAGGATTTTTAAAAGCAATCAAGATCAAGCCAATACCAAAAGAATCGTAGGGACATAGTAAGTAGTGCTTCATTTACTTCTACTAGATTAGAAAACGTTGGAGTGAGCTCAAAGATTAATTTTTACTTGTGCTGATGAAATGCAGTGGTTACATGTCCCCTGAATACGCCATGGAAGGGAGATTCTCTGAGAAATCTGATGTCTACAGTTTCGGAGTATTGCTATTGGAGATTGTAAGTGGTAGAAGAAACAAAAACTTTCAAAATGATGAATCGTTGGGTCTTCTGGGCTGTGTAAGTACTTTCCCAAACTCATCTTCCTTCTTGGATCATAAGACTTTACTTTCTATGTCAACTAGTTCCCATATATGCACCAGTGCCGGCTCAACGGGTAGGCTAAGGCAATTGCCTTAGGCCTCATAAAAAAATATGTACTAATGATTAATTTGATTTTCCAGGCTTGGGAATTGTGGAACGAAAACAACATTGTTGGTCTAATTGATCCTGTGATATATGATCCATGCTTTCAAGTTGAGATGATAAGAAGCATACGTGTAGGATTGTTGTGCGTGCAGGAATTCGTGAAGGATAGGCCAACCATGTCAACTGTTATTTCCATGCTTAATGCTGAAATTGTGGAACTTCCTGCTCCAAAGCAACCTGCATTTATTGAAAGGCGGAATGTTTTTGATACAGAGTCCGCTGAACAGAGCCAGAATAGAATTTCTATTAACAATGTTACGGTGACACACATTGATGTCAGATAGCAAAAAAAGCCCTTAATGCAAGGTGCATGTTTTTCCTTTCACAATATGTTACTTTTATGAAGATTGTTGTAATTGTTTTTTGAGATTTTCAAACAAAACAGTGAGGGAGAATTTCTATCAGGTGAGTAATATTTTGGAGAGAGAACTTCATAAAGAACGATGGGGCTTTTGTCTTAATTTGAGGGAGATAAATATGTTTGATGTTATTTCAAAAATTATCACTATTTTAAGTGACCCTTTTAGAAAAGTGCGTAATTGATGATTGGCCGTAGAAAAGTTCAGAGATGACAGAATGCCCTAGGGGCTTGGGTATCGTGGGGAACACCTCCATTGAAAGAGGGATGAGGGGGTTAATTTGGGGAATAGGGTGGGATTGGAAAACAATAGTTAAATATACATAAAAAGAAATCCCATTGACATTTAGGAATTGTATATTTAAAAAAATTATATTTTAATATAATCAGATTTAACATTTAAAATGTATATTTTATTTTTTTTAAAATGAGAGATGTGCAGATAAATTGAACTTATTAAAAATGTTCGATGAGAAGTGAAATTGTTTTTCAATTTCGGAATTTGAAGAAATTGAGAAAGAGAAGCGCAGCAACGAAAGAAAAAAATGGTGTAGGAATGAATTTTAACAATATATATATATATATATTCATTTTTCTTTGCGAGACGTATTCAAAGAGCTACAAAATTAAAATATTTAATAGCTTTAAGAGATAGTTTATTTTGCAAAATTAAGTTATGTCAATTTATAAATTATAAACAGATATTGTCAATTTAGGTACATTTTTTTCATAAAATGTTAAAATCACAAATTTTAATTTATTTGACTTAGCGGCGCTAAACACTTATGAGGTATGAGTTGTCATACTATAATTAATTGAATTTCTAATAATTTAATTGAGCAATGTACTAATATAATATATTACCAATGTTTATAATATAATATAATAAACTTATAATTAATTAAGTAATCATTTAATTATAATGTAATGTTATAATTAATTAAGTAATCATTTAACTAGTAATGTACTAATATTTATCAATTTATTATATATAATTAATTAATTACTAATTTACTATAGATATACTTATAACTTAATAATTGAAGTAAATAACTAAATATTATTCAGTCAAATATACTATTTTATTCAAAAATAATTCTTTTAATAACATTAAAACTCTTTTAATTAGATCCTAATTTCAATTATACACTTAATTAATCAAATAATTAATCAAAACTTTAATATTATAATATATTAAAGTCTTTTTATGTGAAAAATTTAATATATATTTGCTATATATGTGTATATATATTTGATTATGTTATTGTTATAGTAAATTTTTTTATATAACATTAAAACACTTGTGAGTCCCATTTTAAATTTTTTTATATGCAAAATTATAATAAACTCCCTATTCTTTATAGATAGTTTTTCGATCCCTGTTCTAATATAGGTCCCATACCGAGTACTCGACCTCGATTCCAAGGAAGGTTCCATTCTGGGTACCCACCTCGGTTCCAAGCAGGTTTCATATTGGGTACCCGCTTTCGGTTCTCATCCTAGGATGGGCAGGAACCGGAATCGAACTTGCACAATGTCGGTTCCAAAAAATTGGAACTGGAACCTACCCGCACAGTATCGGTTCCAGGTAGGTTTCGATTCTGGTTTCGGTTCCGATTCCACCTGCTACCCATACTTACCCCTAGCTAAGCCAAGATTTTAATTATGGGGTCGCGGGAATATATTTTATGCTCAACTATAAAGTTTCTATGTTTATATATAATTTAGTTTATAATTAGTCATTAAGCATTTTGTCTCAAATATTACAAATTTTAAGCTAGGTTTGATTAAAATATATATTTAAAATCTCATCAAAGAAGCTTTTAATACAAACATTAAGAGGAAAAATAAAAGAAAAAACATTATTAAATTTTGTATTATTTAGTAAATGTATTTAAAATTTAATCTCATTTCTATAATTAATTACCTTATTGAAGACATGCTAACTGAACCTATTGTTAATTATTTTGTGTGTTTTACTAATTAGGAGGGATATATCAAAAGAGAGGTTAAATGATAAGTTATTACATTTTATGAAAGGTAAAAAACTTATAAAGAGTACAACAATTAAATTAATAAAAATTTTAAAATATATAAAAAAAAGAAGAAGACGAACCTAACTTAATATTTTTACTCTAAATACTTACAATGAGTTTTAGAACATATTTCATTAGGTGTTAATATGTTGGGGTGGCCAATAAGTATTAATTATATAGATTTTATTTACTATATTAAATATTCTTACTCAAAAAAGAAATTATTCTTTGGCCTAGGGTGGCCTTGTTTATTTTATTTTATTTTGTTTGTGGCATCTTTTGAGTTTTCTAAAAATTGGGTTGGTGTTGGTTTTGATTTGTTTGTCATTTTTCAATGAAAAAATTTGGGTGATTTAGCGTTTGGGTGAATTAAAAAGAGAGCGAAACATTATAGAGAGAAAGAGGTCGTATAAGTTGAATTTGGGTTTGTCTACAAAGAAACGAGAGAAAATAAAGGAATATCAATTTTGTTTGGTTGTGGATTTTCTAAAGCAGAGAAGTTCACTAGCTGAGTCGGGGAGTTTTGATTGTTTGATATTTGTAAAGTTTTACATTTGGTTTGTTGATTTACTCATCAGTGTTTCATTGCTAGTGTTTGGATCTTGCAACTAGGGATGTCAAAATGATCCATGAGTTGGATTTGAATAGTATAAATTTTGGGCAGGGTCAGATTTGAGTTTGAGCAGTATAAAGTAATGAGAAAAGAATCGTTCTCACGAGAACTGTTTAACTTATTAAGTATCGAAATTAAATAACCCTAAATTTATTTGAAGAAATCAATTAAAGAAGATTTAATTTTAGAAAACTTAAAGACAAGATAAACTCAAAAGCAATTTATGAAAACTAGAGCGTAGATTTAACTGACAAAACTGAAACTGAAGGGAGTATAACTGACAAGACAGAAACTTATGGGGCTGACAACACACAAAAAAGTAATAAAATTAAAATTAAAATAAACACCTAAAAAAAATTAATACATTAAACACCTCACCCCAAACCTAAGATTAATATTATCCTTAATGTTTCCTTTCCAAAATAATAAAAATAACCAAATAGATGTGCAAATATAAAAGAAATCAAGATGAACTAAATTTAAAAAAAAAAAAAAAAAAAGTAGGAAGGATCACAGCTGAATGGAGCTCAAATTAACTTTTGCATCAAAATCCTGTGCATACAATTGGAAAGGCTAATACCTTTGATATTTACAATTGATCATCCCAATGCAGTTTTGTGCCCTTGCATAACCCAAGAGTATCTTATCTTCATCCATTTTTAACTCCTCAATCCATCCTCCGCCAAAATAACTGTAAGAAAAGTAGAAGACTCGCCTAAAAATGCATAACAAAGATGGGAAGGCAATAGTTTAAGCTCAAATGTCGGAGGCTCCATGATTTTTGCCTCTCTAGCTTGATGGAATCTGTTAGAGTAGGTGCTCCAAAGCTAATCACATTATTGTATATTGACTCTATGGATCATGATTATTCCATTTATAAAAAGCATTGTTTATATTATGTAAAGAATATTCTATATGTATGTATTATGCCCTTAGAGTGATTGAACCATGACAAGGGAATCAAGCAGTGATAAGTCTTGATTGTAAGATCCCTATGATCACATTTGATGACCATTTTAGAAACGTCCATAACCCCAGTATTATCTTGAGTTAGGGCAGATAATACGGTAAAGCTATCATAGCGTTGAAGGACCCTATCGAAAGGTAGTGACAGATCTCACATGTCAAGGTTGTTTAGTGACAACTTAGTGCAATGCATGAGTGCTTGTTATTCACGAGTCCACCGGACTAACCCACCAAAGGATTCCATATAGATGGTAAACCCAATGTCCATGGAGTACATCCTCTAACAGGTGGTGGCATGTGGTCCTTAGACTTGAGATCACTGGAGTGTCGTGTGTAAATATTGGTGTAGTTTGACACTAGCCAAACGTAATCTTGTTTAGAGTTATCAATAAGGTAGTAATTGGTTACATTGTTCTGTACAGCATGGCTATAATGGATCAACAAAGGATTCATCACTCTTGTGTGCAGAAGAAATTATCTTGGGGAGATTTTCAGTAAGCAACAATAACCTTGAATCTATGGCCACAATGGAATCGAGTTGGTGCTCGGTTGGTCGATTGGTTCGATAAACCGAATCTGAATATGTCAAGGTGGTTTATACTTGAACCTGACATTATTTCTATGCTTCAAACCTGGATGAGATAATAAATGATGAAAAGATTTGATTGTATGGTAACCATACTGTTGACAGGTAGCGAATACGCTGAATCAGAATTTGTCGGATGACCATGTTGCCTTAGTAGAGGCCAATCTTGGTCTATGTGTAATGAGACAATTAATAGTGTTGATTGCAATATTACTCGCTACCAACATGATGATGAGCATATGGGTCACATATTTAAAAGGCAATTTAAAGAAGATATTCGAGTGAGGGGCATTTTCATCCTTTACTCACAAAAGCCTATTTTGGTAAATCTACGAAGCAATTAAATTTGCTAGAAAGGTTGTTGCCTGGACCCAATCCCGTATTGGATTTAATATGTAAGATTCATTATTTATTTAAATATATATATTGTCGTATGTATATTGTAAATAAACAAATATATATATATATATAGATAGATAGGTTTTAAATACTGAAAAATCATAATTAGATGAATAAAATAATAATGAGTTGATACCCGGTTAGTGATTTTCTTCGGAAATCAAATAATCTAATTATTTAATTAGTAAGGGGTATATTGGTAATATACTCTAATTAGAGCAATTAGGGTGTGCCTATAAAAAGGCACTCTTCGCCAAACTTCCCTAATGAGCCATTCATTGTTGCCCAAGAGAAAAAGTTGAGAGAATTTTTCTCTCTTAATTCTTCTTGATCCCTTCTTCTTTAAACATCACAAATCAAACTAGCAAAGTGATTGTATGTTGATTCTTGCCTTTGTGTGGATATCGTGGGTTCACTTCTATCCTTGAGGAGTGAGTTTTTTTCAATGATAAAGCGGTGGAGC